TAACCCTGATGATGTCATTAGGGTCGCCTGTGTTACAAACTTTGGGTGAGGAGTTTAAAGACACCATCAAGCAAGGAGGGTCTAATGAACGACACTATCAACTTGCATCAAGGGAAGTGTAGGTTTTTGGTCGTGACTCATACTGGAGGCTAAAAGTCAGAATATCTCTGCCTCGGTTTTTGTTTCACAAAACCTGAACTAGTCTACTTTCAGTCCGTGTCTCAGAAGCCCCCCCACCTTCATGGAAGTGTAACAGGACCCACTAAATACCCCTTTAGTATGCCTTTGAGAGGCAATTATTGCACCATTTACTCCACTACATTTACTATATGGTACTATTATAGTTACTTTACATTACTTATAAAACATAATCAGTTATTAAGTTATGATGTGATAATTATCAAATAAAAGAAACATATGAATAAGCAAGTAAATGAATAACTATTACAGAACAGCATGGCTACAACTACTACATAAAAAATGTACCATGTGGAAATAATAAGGTCACTATAAACTTGAAACTGACTTCACTGCCTGACAGGATAAAGCTCCCTGTAGAAAGATACTCTAAGTACTGCATTAAATTGATACTGTATAGATAGAGATGCCCGAAAGTACAGTACGGTTGCTATAAATAAACTATTCAGCACCACAGACTCATTTTAAGTTCCCTTTGGAAATATTATAGCAGCAGATAAAAATGCTACAAAGTAAAGTAAGATCATATTAAATGTACAGAGTGCTATAAATATACAATGGGTAATTATAAAAAAAATTATAGAGACAGTGTAGGAGGACATCTTCCCATCCAGTGTGAACAGTATGAACAGTGTGTCCTCCCCAGTAGTCTAATTCAGCACAAACAGTGGAGCACATACAGTACCCTGTGCAGGAGCCTCACGTCCAGACAGACAAAACCCAGCCTCAGATATCATAGTTGTGTCTCTTGCATTTAGTTTTATCTTACACTATGAAGCACTATGTTCTACACTCTGGAATTCAAGGAATGGTTGTGGGATTTAGTTTCCCGATGTGCCCGCTTTCCCTCAACTTGCCTTGTCTTGAACTGCGTAGAATTGCATCTCCTCTAGCAAAGTACCTAGTCTGTTTGAGTCTCTTAGCACCATGGTTGTCCCGTTCTTCCCATGATTTGTGCTTTACATCTTTTTTGAAATCTATTCCTACTGAGGTACAAGGAAAGTTGGTCGTCAGCAACTACACACACACATAGTATGGAAAATGGTCGCTTGGAAGCTTGTGATAACCTGTAAAAGGTGAACAAACAGTCCCCGCTTTCTACCTGCATCATGAAAGATGTCCTGGCAGATAACGCCCTGGTGTTGATTCCTCCTTTGTTGTTAAACCGAGCTTTCTGACAAACATGTGAGCACATTATGGGTAGAATATGTTGTGGAAAGACTTACACTTCCGATATGTTATTAACACGCACTGTCCCTGTAAAATACAGTAATAAACTAAACTGGTTGTAATGTTATAGTTTTGGATTGAAGTAACTGAACCCTTAGATATACATAAAAACACACACACAGGGATACAGACTACTCACCATGGCAGTGTGAGCATGTCTGGTCGGAATGGGAGCCTGATACCCATTTGCTGTTGTCACGGTAACTCCCGGTGTTTGGCTGTATCCTATGATAGAACAGAATTTGGGTTATTGTTACCATTGTCATATTTGTTAATCATCTTTTTTTTTCATATTCATTTGTACCTGTGCTTGACCTATACATATTCCAATGTATACTCACCAACTCTATGTTAATATAGTGTATCATATATTATATATATCAGAAAAATGTAGATTTTTCAGTGGACTAAGGAAAAACAGACCCTTTTTGGCTTGTTATCTGGTTTTAAGTTTGAGTTTCATAAGCCTCCACAGGATGGAATATGTAATCCTTCTAATTAAGTGAAAGCGTGGCAATCCATCTGTCTTCCACGTGTAAATGTGACACTGTGAAAAGATAGTGACGCAAACATGCATCTGTCTTGCAAATGTGATCATATTACCAGCTATTGATTCGCACAACCAGCACATATGCTTTCGTAGTGGATTGTAAATCAGTGAAATGCTATAATAATTCATATTTTGTAAACCGGTTTATCATTCTCTTAAAATTAGAGCAACTGTATTTGCATCATGACATTGATAATAAATCTATAAGTCCTCCCTGTGCTCCCTGGCTGTATTTTTATCTTGGTTCTGTTCTTTGCTGAGTAAGTGACCCAGTTCCACCTTGAGGAAGTTTATCTGATTTTACATCGTATCATCCTCAACCTCCTGACACTCACACTCACTGCAACCGAAGTAACAACACAAAACATCAACTGTCAAATCAGGTTCGCACAGTATGTAGCAGCAACTGTGGCAGAAGTAGCGAGAGGTGAAAAGCAACTCAAATCATGTACTTAAGTTTACAGTATTTCAAGGTGCACATACTTTGCTTCTGTAATTCCATTTTTATATGGAATTTACTCTATTACATTTATTTGACACTTACTTTGCAGATTAAAATTATATATGATCAGTTTATAAGATATAGATGCAACTATCCAACATTAAAATGCTGCTTAAAACATTAATGCATTAGTAATAATTCAACGATTAGTAGTAAGTAGTGTTTATAAATGGTGTTATTGCTACTACTAGTTCTTCTGCCACTGTTAGTAGGAATAGTAGTGAGAGTAGTGGCAACTCTATTAGCATTAGTAGATATAGTGGCTGTAATAGTAGCAGCAGTAAAGTAAGACTTGGCTCTCCTGTTGCACAGAATACGTCATAATTTAAGATCACTGTGCATCTGATAATTCGATTATTGTTTTGCCTCTGCACTTGACCTTAAAAATACATCTACTACTCTATTTTTGCTTTCAGTTTTTTTGTTCTGCGGTTTGAATGTAAAGTTTGACTTACATCACAGGGATCACGTTACAAGATCATAAAGTCATTGGCCTTGCACTGAACTACATCACTGTTGCCTCGAGCAGTTGAAATCACAATGTTATGGTTCATGCTTACTGTGATACATATTTTCCACAGTTGACATGTATTATCATCCTTTTATTTGTGTGTGTGTGTAATAATTATCTGCAGTCATGGTTTCTGTTGAACACATCAGTCATTGTCTTAAGATAAATCAATTAGTGTTTATTATCACGGAAAACACACCCATCCGCTGTACAGGAAGAGTGTGTGTGTGTGTGTGTCTCAAATGTTATTCCTGTGTTCAGATGCTGGTTGTTATGGCGTCTCTAATATAATCATATACCACCCGGTATTATATCTTCTGGAGAAGTGCGTTATGTTTGTGCTGCTTCCCTCCCCAGATCACGTGTGCTTTAAACAAGGATAACAACACCCAGTCTGAGATACATGCACTTATCAAAGGAAAGATGACATTGTCCAATTACAAAACTAATCTTTGTTATTTTACTGTACTGTACTGGTTAAACAGAAGATAATCTATGATCCTAGAAGACATCTATGTTCTGACACATGTCCACAGTGTATTGTATGTACACTATTTATCATATGTGGCTGGTTCTTAAGGTGTCCTTGTGTCATACATGTGTTATTGCTTTTCGTTACCTCAACTAGTCCTGTTTGTCCTCAGTGTTCAATGCTGTGGAGTTATCAGTGGTGTCAGTAATGTCAGATGAGTGAGTATGCAGAGTGTTGGTGTACCATTTCATGATTTCTTGCAGTACCTAGTATCGATACCAAGGGGGCGCCTCAGGGCTCCTGCAAAACTAGGGCATTTAGATTGATCCAACTATCTGTTTATTTAAAAACTAACCTTCCCATGCTACCTACTCGACATTTTTTGCAGTGTGTAAACTCATTAGATGCCACAGACACTTTATAGGTCCCTACAGGAACATTGCAGTAATATTGTACCAATGTTCTCATGAGCAGTGGCTAGTCATACTGACTAAAGAGAGAGATTACATATCACATCCTTCCAAAGCTATCCTTTAGTTTGGGCTTTAATATTTCGAGGAACAGACTGATCATAAAGGTTATAGTCATAATTGATATTTCTTTGCATATATTTTATTGATTTTTAATCCTGTGTGTGTTTTGGATTTGAACTTAAGAAAGTAAATGAGCTCATGAGGGCAGAGCATGCAAGTAGAACCTGTCTCAATTAACATTAAATGGAGGAAAACGGTTTTAATGGTCTATCGGAGTCTATATTTATATAACCTATGTAGCACGAAACCACTGTGTCTTTAGTGACAACTGAAAACGCTCTGGACATACTGTCACCCAAATTAAAGTGTAAAATGTGTGTGTGTGTGTGTGTGTGTGCTTGTTAGTGGCAGTGGGCATTATAACAGATAGGGATGCAGTAAGGATAGCTTGTGATCTCTTTGTCAGCAGCCAGTGAAAAAGTGAATGTTAGGGACAGATGGAAAGAACAACAAGCAAGAGACGGCAGGGGGGCACTGGAGAAACTCAGCTTTATTGACCAAAGATAGAGAGAGGATACAGACATCAGAGAGGGAGAGGGAGAGAGAGAATGTGAGAGCGAGTTGTCATAACTATAAAGAGAGAGAGAGAGAAAGATCTAAAGAGAGGGGGGAAGAGAGAGAGGAGAGAGGGAGTTTGAACAATAGAAAATGGCTCCTTTTTGTTTTAACAGTCCATACAACCATGAGGGCAGGCAGACAAGAAAAAGAGAGACCCCTACAGAGTCAGAGGAGTACTGCAGGCGTGGCAGTGGGGCTGGTAAACTCAACAAGTCTGTTGTTCATGTACAGCTCCTCGCATTACATCAAATACACACACACACAAACCCAAACAGGCAAACCGCATTGGTCAGACTTTCATTAACTTCAACTGAGTCTTACTCTTTTCTCCTTTTTTAAAAATGTTTTTTTTTTTTTTTTAGATTGTAATTGCATTATCTTTTGTAGGTACATAACGTAAGTGATTCTTTGCAATCATGTGTGTGCATTACACCTTGGGGGAAACTAACACTACATGTTTGAGAATACACTTCTCTGTTCTCTGCATAGCGTCCTTTAAAATCTTTAAAACCAAACAGTCATGCAGTGAATATGTCTTGACCATTGTGGGGCACTGAACAGGACAACGTGAGTAATTGTCCCCAGCCTACATGAGCCTTGCTGCAAATAAACTTAATAAGGGAAAATAACTGCTCAAACAGCTCAGAAGAACCATCATGGTGGGTTTTTTTCCCCACATAAGATCTGCTGTGGTAAATTTGAGCCAAACCACCTTTTATCTGTAAAATTGTCATTTTGCAGATGAATTTCAATACTAAATGTAGACAGACAGATAGATAAATGTAAAAACCTGGGTAATGGTCAGCAGTAATGTATTTTTAATGAAATTTGTAGTTAATAGGCTGCCATGCAAATCTAATGGTATGGTTATTTAAGATACTTCCTCCGCGCAATGTCTTAAGATCCTTCAAAGATGCCTTTGAGGCCGACCGTAACACGTCTGGGAATGGTAGCAGCCGCCAAGAGTTCAGAGAAGGTGGTCAGAAGAGGGGGAAAAAGTTGTGTGGGGTTAATAGTGAGATTACACACAGCAAAGCAGTGAAGTTAGAGAATGAAAATATACAAAGCTCGCATTTGTGCACTCATACAGTTGTGATATGGCATCGTAGGACATCAGAACAATGTCTAGTTCCCATAATAACCAGAATTATCTCTAGATCTCTATATAGATGTGGAAAATAAAATCATCACTAAATAGAATATAGAGCATATTTACATTCTTTATCTACACAGGAAACTAGACCCCAGCGGGCCCAGTGGTGGCCAATCACACAGCCAGCTGGACTGACTGACAGCAGCAGTGGCCAATCACACTAAAGCATGTATGTTTGAAGGCCGACCTACAGTTGTGCACGGACAGGACAGTTTAGAGGTGGGATTGTATAGCTGTGCACAGAGCCATGTAAAGAACTGATTCACCCGGAGACCTTTCAATGCTGGAAATATGTTATTTTGTTTCTGTGACTATTATCAGAGTTAGTACACAGTGCAGAGATGTTCTTTATTCTATGGCCAGGAACCAGTAAAGCAGTCACACAAATGGCTGAAGAAAAAGAAAGAAAATGTGCTGCACTCCACGAAAAGGCTGCTAAGGCTCTTCAGGTCAATTTTCTTCCATATGAATAAAACATTTTGATGTGAATGAATCATATTAAGACCCAGGTTGGATTTGAACCAAGTACATTACAGTCACTTGCTACACACCGGAGCCACAAAAACACCCCCAAATGACATTATTTGGGATCTGAAGAGCCTCTCTCACCTCTTTGAAAATGTGCGAATGTCTTCTTCAACCACATATCTGGCCCATATAACTTTATTGATCTCACTCTAACAACAGATATGTCTCCGTAGTTTATAATGGCAAAGTGCAGTAGTCACTAACTCTCCAGAAATCAATTCACCAAACGCAACTTGAGCATCACCGTCCTCTCTATTCCATGTTCCATCAAAGACGCTTGAAATGAAGCAAAGAATCTTCCCAGAGCATCCATTATCATTCAACAGAATGAGGATGATGACTGCTTTTGAGAGCTTTTCTGAAAGCCAGCCACGTAAATGTCCTGCAGTGTAATATGATGTTATAATGACACCCAGGCCACATTATTTGTAGCACCCTTGTAAACGAGGGCCTGGTTGGTGACTACAGTAAGAGCTGGCAGTGTTTTCAGTCTCTGTGAATTGTAAAGAGTATAATGGATCTCTGGTAGCCTCCTGCAGTGATGAGGTGAATTTAATGGACAAAAAGATGAACACGAATTGCACTTTTTCTAAAAGCTCATTTGAGCAACAGCTGTCATAGTTGTAATTTAGTGATGTGGTAATGCTTGTTAATATTTATTATTCACAATCTTGTGCCCAGGCTGTTAGTGGTAACCCATGTTTGTTTTCATAGGTGGAAATACATGTTCCTTCGCTGCCAGAGTGTACTCATTAAGCTGCCGTTAGCTTCCTGTGCTCTGCAGGAGAAGTTGGCTGTATAGATCCTACTGTGTGCCAAAAGGTGTTCCATGCCTCCTTATTGGCTGCTGAGTTAGGAAGTTCTAGAATAGGAGGAAATGACCTCAGCAGTGGAATAGCTAATGTGTTTAAAAAAAAGTTAATGTGGACAAAATGACAGAGAGAGAGAGAGAAAGAGAGAGAGAGTCCTGTTACTACTAACTACAGCGTCAAAAACCTCTGCTTCACATGGAAACAGGTGTCCCAATGATTCAATGGCCTTTTAAGATTCAAAACAAAAGGAAAAAAAAAGTTTAGGTAACAGCAAACTGAAATAGAGGTCTAATAGAAACTAATTATCTCTATTTTTTTTTGGTTAGGATTATCAATGTGGAAGAATGAAGAGGCACATAAAGAAACCAAGGCAACAAGAACCCTCCTCTCTGCCCTGGCCAGAGAGTCTGTACGGGGGGGGGGGGG